CGTCGTCGTCGTCGTCGTCGTCGTCCGATGGCCGAGCGAGGAGCTCTCCTGCAGCCCCGGCGGGGCCTTCTGCGTGGGAGGGCCTCCGAGGGCTCTGGGTGGCCTTCGGGGAGAGGCATCCCGGACCTCCTGCAGCGCACGGAAGAATGCAGTCCAGAGGTTTTCGTGTGTTCCTGGGTGTCACTGCTCCCAGGCCCAAACCTTTAAAAAACATGGAAAATCAGTGCGGAGAGCCTTCTGGTTTTGGGCCTCTGGAGATCCTTTCTGAGCTGCTCAGAGTGCAGGGCTGGCCCTGGAGGAAGAGTCTGAGCATCGGAATTCTGGGGATCAATCCAGGGAAACCGAGGCAAATCTGAGCAAATCGTGGCACATCCGCCCAACCACATCGAGCCAACAGAAATTGGCCCCGGGGAAAGGGTCGGGACTTCCGGGGACCCCGCTTTCACTTAGTGGGTCACCCGCGGGGGCGCGAAGATAATCGCGTTTCGCGCGCCGCGGTCTGGCCCTGAGCGGCTGCCCTTCTCCAAGGCTGCGGCACGAGGACGCGAAGGGAATCGCCCGTCGCGCATCGCGGGGCGCGATGCGCGCAGTGCGGCGACCTGGGCTGAAGAATCAGTGCATCGTCGGCGTCACCCCAGCATGCTAATACCATGTGTGCGTCGCGCCCCCCATGGGGCGACGCGTACGCAGTAGTAGCAAGCTGGGCTGCGCAGCTGAGCGGTCGCCGGCCGCCCGCTCGAGGCCCGCGGTCGGGAGCTTTGGGGGCGGGGGTCCGTGCGAACGGGGGTCGGCCAGAGCGCCAGATCTGGCAGCATCCTGCAGAGCCAGGGCTGCACTGACCCGGGCTAGCGCGGAGGATCCTGCGGGATCCTGCAGGATCCTGCAGGATCGGCGTCGGCGTCGTCGTCGTCGGCGTCGGCGTGGGCGTCGGCGTCGGCGTCGGCGTCGGCGTCGGCGTCGCCGATCCTGCAGAGCCCGACTGGCCCAGGCTTGGATTGACACGGGCCATTAGACGCACGGCGCGGCACCCTGCCCAGGGGGGAGGCGGGCCACACCGCAGGAGCGGCCCCCCGCCAGAGCGACCCTTGCCGCGCGGGCCCGGGACCCCCACCCCGGAGGCGACGGGAGGGGCGAACAGCCCAGGGGCGGGCACTGCATGCGTTCGCCCGGGAGCCTCGCCGAAGGCATGGACCATCGGCGCCCCGAAGGATTGCAAAAAACCAAGGATTGCAAAAAACCCAGGATTGCAAAAAACCGAAGGATTGCAAAAAACCCTTCGGTTTTTTGCAATCCTTCGGTTTTTTGCAATCCTTCGAAAGTTCATCACATGCATCGCTCTGCCCTGGGCTATTCGCCACCGTCGCCCCCGACAGCCTGCTCTCGCCGACAGCGCCGCGGTCTGGGTCGGACCGGTGGCCCTTCTCCAAAGGGACGTCGCCTGGGTGCGAGCGCGCAAAGATGGCCGCGCGTCGCTGGGCGCGACGCGCGAAGTTGGGCGACCTAGGAATCACGACAGGGGGGTTTTGGATGCTTTCGGTCTCAGGGGGCCCTCTCTGGGCCTCGGGGCCTCCGAAAAACGACCCAGGATGAGAAACCGGTCCCAGTGAAGGGGTCCAGACATTTGGGGGTCGACGTTGCGATAACTATGCAGGAATTGTTCGACATATTCGAAAAACTATTCATCATATCACTCATTTTTCTGATGTCGAGTAGGTTAGCACAAGATGGCGTGAGCTACAAGCCATCGCCAGAGCTCAAGCTGCCAGAGCTCAAGCTGATCTTGCTTCAGCGACATGATAAAACAAATTCTACGGCGGAGCTCTGGGTCCCCCCGGCGCTCGCTGGCGCGCTTGGATGCTGCCCTCCCCCCCCCTCCCCCCGACTTGCCTCGCAGCAAAGGTCGCTCTCTTGCCCAGGGTGATTCTCGCGTGCAGCCGAAGGAGGAGCGCAGGGAAACTGGAAAGAGTGGCTGGGGCCAGCACTTCCAGTCTCTTCCGGCCCTGTCCAGTCTCCGTCCAGTTTGTCCAGCCCTGGCGACCTCATCCAAGCTGTTGCGGGCTCGTATCAGCCCTTGCCAGTCCAAGCCCTGCAAACTCTCATTCTCACAGGATTCCCAGACTCATCCGCTTCATGTCTTACAGCTTCTCTGTACCGGTTCCGGTGCTCTTCCCTCGTCTTCGCCCTCCTGGGCCTCCTGGGGGCCCTCATCGCCCCCTCTCCCCCGGGCGTGCTCGGCGTCTTGGAGCAGTCAGGGCGGAAAGGCCTTGCTGTTGCAGGGGGTACAGTCAAAGACGCAGAGGGCGGGCGTCGAGGATGCGGGGGCTCGTGCTGAGCAGCGCACGAGCCACGGAGGGCGAGCAGGCTTAGGAGATGGCTGTTGCTGTTGCTGCGATCTCCAGCATGCAGGGAGAGGGGGGGCCTACGTCGGGACCCCCGACGCCGTCGACGGGGCCACCTGCGCGGGTGCGAAGATGATCGCGGCTCGCGCGCCGTGGCCTGGGCCGCTCGATTTGATGCTGATGATGATGATGATGATGATGCTGATGCTGATGCTGATGCTGATGCTGATGATGATGATGATGATGATGATGATGATGGTGACGACGACGATCAGGATGGTGATGGTGCTGATGGTGAGGATGGTGATGGTGGTGGTGGTGATGGTGGCGATGATGGCGACGATGGCGATGATAGCGATGATGGCGATGATGAGGATGAGGATGAGGATGAGGATGAGGATGAGGATGAGGATGATGATGATGATGATGATGGTGGTGATGATGATGATGATGATGATGATGATGATGATGATGATGATAATGACGATGACGATGATGGTGATGATGATGGTGATGGTGATGGTGATGGTGATGGTGATGATGATGATGATGGTGGTGGTGATGGGGATGATGGTGGTGGTGATGGTGATGGTGATGGTGGTGGTGGAGGGGGGGTGATAGTGGTGGTGATGGTGATGGTGGTGGTGGTGATGATGGTGATGGTGGTGATCATGGTGATGGTAATGGTGATGGCGATGGTGGTGATGATGCTGTTAATGATGATCACGCTGGAGGTACGGGAAGATTCTCGCGCGCCGCCCACTACGCGGCGCCCATCGCGCGAGGTTGCCCTACCTGGGCCAGCGAAGGCGGTGACGGCGACGACGACGACTACGACGACGACGGCGGCGGCGGCGGCCACGGCGACGGCGACGACGGCGGCGGCGTCGGCGACGGCGACGGCGACGGCGACGGCAACAGCGATGGCGACGGCGACGGCAACGGTGCGGCGCGGCGCGGCGCGGGGCAGCGGCCCCGAGGAGCAGGACGATTCCCTGCACCGGTGCTGCCCGAGCCTCACAATGAGGACAGCCCCTCCTCGATCCTTCTCCTCCCTCTCCTCCCCTGCCCCTCCTCGATCCCCTCCTCCCCCTCCCCCTCTGCGCTCCTCCCCCTCATCTCCTCCTCCCCCTCCTCTCCCACCTCCCCCTCCTCCCCTCATCCCCCCTCCTCTCCCACCCCCCCCTCCTCCACTCCTCCCCTCCTCCCCCTCCTCCCCCTTCTCGCCCTTCCTCTCCTCGATCCTCCACCTCCTCTACAATTACTCAATATGAATACTACTCTCCCTCTTCCCCTGATGGCGTGCTGGGAGTGGCCGACCCCCCCCCCCCGCGTACTGTTTTTTTTACACACAGGATTCCCGGGAGTTGGGTTTTCGCCTGCGTTTTTTTTCGAAATGCTGCTCTCGCTGAGGCGCCGGCCTCATTTCTGCTCCCGAATCGTTCCGAATCATGCTCCCGCTGCAGCGTGGGCCTCATTTTCGGATCGGTGTTTGGCCTCCGTCGTTCAGGATGGCGTTCTCGCCCCAGCGCGGGCCTCTTTCTCGCGCGCCCATCCGCCCGCCACCACCGCGCCGCACCACCACCACCACCACCACCACCACCACCACCACCACCACCACCACCACCACCACCACAACCACGCACACACGCACGCACGCACGCACGCACGCGCACCACCACCCACTACGCACGCGCGCGGAGCCACAGGTCCGCTACGACACGCGTCCGCGGATAGAGAAAATCAGCGCCATGGTAAGGGATGGGAGGGAGGGGTAGGACGTCAGATATGACGCGAGCGCACCTAGCTTGCCCTCCTCCCCCTCCCCTCCCCCGCTCCTCCTCCTCCCCTCCCGCAGCGCGCGCCGCGCAGGCGCGTGGCGCGCCAGAGGCCATGGTGTCTGCGGGTGGCGCGGCTGGCGGCAGATTCTGGGCGACCGCGAGCGCCCGCACCATCGCTCGCAGGTTGCGGCGCGAGGCTCGCCGTGATAAGGGGCCATCGCGGGCGGCTGCACTGGAGGTGCGCGAGAAGGCCTTTCGCGCCTCCCTTCGCGAGCACTGGCGCCCAGCATGGGCGAGGCGCTGCAGGCCGCCAGGCTGCTTCGGATGCCGCCCGACACCATCGCGCAGTGCGAGGTAGCGCTGCAGGAGGGGAACTGGGCCAGGCATGCGCCTCGGCCTGGCGTTGCGTGCGGCCCGCCTCGCTCCTCCTCGGCCGCTGGCGCCTCCACGCACGGGGGCTGGGACGCCCGAGCGCTCGAGCGCCTGCTGACAGGCGATGCGACGCCGCTCGGGGGCGAGGCCACCCCGTTCACGCCCGTCTGCTCCGTGAAGGCCGGCACGCTGCTGCAGGAGATGGGCGTCGGCGGCCTTGCGGGCCGTGGGGCCCTTGCGGGAATTGCTGCCCCGCGGATGGCGACGCTGCTGCCGCGCGGGACACCGTGCCCCGTCGTCGAGGCGAGCTCGGACGTAGAGTTCGAGTGCGTTGCCTCCCCGACCGCCCAGCCGACGGAGCAGCTGGAGGCGTCGAAGCTGCAGGAGGAGGAGGAGGAGGAGCCCACGGTCGAGCCCGATCGGGTCCTGGTGGAGTCCGTGGGCGCGTGCAGGGCCGTGAGCGTCGTGGTCGGTTCGGTGCTGGAGTTCGATGCCGTGGTACGCCTCGAGAGCGGGATCACCGTCGACGGGCCCCCTGTGGCCGTGCCAGCGCGCTGCCGACCGAGCTGGTCCAGGCCCTCACTGCCGAGGAGCCCGCCGAGCTCTTCCAGGCGGACACCACCGAGGAACTTGCCGAGCTGGTCCAGGTGGGCACCTCCGAGAAGCCCGCCGAGCTGGTCCAGGCGCATACCATCGAGGAGCCCGCCCAGCTGGTCCAGGCGGACACCGCCGTGGAGCCCGCCGAGCTGGGCCAGGCGGACACCGCCGAGGAGCCCACCGCGCTCGGGGCCCAGGGCGGCCGTGGTTGCGGACAGCAGGGCCTTCTTCAGCCCGGGCCGATGCGTCGTCGATCAGCTCTCCTCCAGGCTGTTCGCGCGCAGCCGCGTGATGAGCGTCTCGGAGCGTGCGAACGCCGAGCCGACGATCGGGCCCCCCCGACGACGGCGCGAGCCAGGAGGACGTCATCTTCCAGAGCGAGGCCGAGGGCATTGCCCTCGATTCCGTGCACGACTTCATGGGGAGCGCCCGCTTCCAGCAGGCCTACTTCCTGAAGGGCGTGTACCTCTTCCAGGTGAATGGCGGGGTCGGCGACCCCTGAGTGGCTGGCCTCTCGCTGGATCTGCCTCGGATTCCTGGCTGGCGGCCCTCTCGGCGTGTTCTGGGGGGGGAGGGTGCGCCGCGGTCTCGGGCTCGTGCTGGCGCGCGTGCCCGCGTCCCCCTCCTGGGGGGCGGCCCCCGGGGGCCGTCTGGTGGCCCGGCCGTCCCCGCGGGGTGGCTTCCGCCCCCCGTGGCTTGCCCTCGGGGCAGGCCGGGGTCGAGCGCGGGAGCCTCTCGACAGCTGGGGCCTCGGCGGTCGTCTGCGTGCAGACGGTCGCCAGGGCCTTTTTTGATGATGATGATCCGTCCGTCCGTCCGTCCGTCCACCCATCCCATCCATCCATGCCTCCTCCTCCTCCTCCCTCCCTCTCCTCCTCCTCCTCCTCCTCCTCCTCCTCCTCCTCCTCCTCCGCCTCCGCCTCCTCCTCCTCCTCCTCCTCCGCCTCCTCCTCCTCCTCCTCCTCCCCCGGCAGTGGCAGTGCCGAAACGCGCCCAGAGTCCAGCAAGGCATGAGGGATGCTCTTGGGGGGCCTATGCGCAGGGGAAGCTTTGGGGCTGTGGCTGATGCTCTGGGGGGGACCTGTGCTCAGGGGAGGCTGCAGCACCGCTCAACGATATGCTGTTCAACCGAACCTGCAGGGTGACCTGTGCCCCTTATACAGTGACCACCACCCACCATTTCCCCCCTCTTCCCCCTCCTTCGGGCGAGTTTTATGTGTCAGCATGGGCGTTTTACTGGAGTTTCGGCCTCTCGGGGCCGCTTTCGGGGCCCAGGGCGCCCAGAGATGCATGAAGGATCGGAAATTACCAGAGAGAGAGAAAGAGAAAGAAAGAAATTATCCCAGTGCGACCCTACCTAGGAGTTGGAGCCTCTAGGAAAGCAACATTAGTAGGAGCGGTAAACGCCGTCTTCCTCCTTCTCCTCATCGTCGTAGTTGTAGCGGTAGTAGTAGTAGTAGTAGTAGTAGTAGTAGTAGTAGTAGTAGTAGTAGTAGTAGTAGTAGTAGTAGTAGTAGTCGTAGTCGTAGTCGTAGTCGTAGTCGTAGTCGTAGTCGTAGTCGTAGTCGTAGTCGTAGTCGTAGTCGTAGTCGTAGTCGTAGTCGTAGTCGTAGTCGTAGTAGTAGTCGTAGTCGTAGTCGTCGTCGGTCGTCGTCGTAGTAGTAGTAGTAGTAGTAGTAGTAGTAGTAGTAGTAGTAGTAGTAGTAGTAGTGGTCGTCGTAGTAGTCGTCGTAGTAGTCGTCGTCGTAGTCGTAGTAGTCGTAGTAGTCGTAGTAGTCAGTCGAGTAGTCGTAGTAGTCGTAGTAGTAGTAGTCGTAGTAGTCGTAGTGTAGTCGTAGTAGTAGTCGTAGTAGTAGTCGTAGTAGTAGTCGTAGTAGTAAGTAGTAGTAGTAGTCGTAGTCGTAGTCGTAGTAGTCGTAGTAGTCGTAGTCGTAGTCGTAGTATAGTAGTAGTAGTAGTAGTAGTAGTATAGTAGTAGTAGTAGTAGTAGTAGTAGTAGTAGTAGTAGTAGTAGTAGTAGTAGTAGTAGTAGTAGTAGTAGTAGTAGTAGTAGTAGTAGTAGTAGTAGTAGTAGTAGTAGTAGTAGTAGTAGTAGTAGTCGTAGTAGCAGTAGTAGTAGCAGCAGCAATAGTGGATGCTGTGCTGCGCTATGCCATGCCATGCCATGCTATGCTATGCTATGCTACGCTGCGCAATGCCATGCTGGGCTAGGCTAGGCTAGGCGATGCTATGCTATGCCATGCTGCGCTATGCTATGCTGCGCTATGCGATGCTATGATGTGCTATGCTATGCTATTCTATGCTATGCTATGCCTTGCTATGCTAAGTATGCTTTTGATTTGCCTTCACTTTTGCCTTTGCTTTTGATTTTGCTTGGCACCCAGGGAGCGCAACTGTGGGAACCGCGCGTTTGCTTTTACCTTTGCTGTTGCTTTTGCTTGGCTCCCAGGGGACTGGGGGAACCGCCCGGGGCGATTTCCACTGCCCGGCCCTTGTGAAGCGAGTAAGAACCCTTCTAGGCAGAGCCTAGGTAGGGAAAAAAGAAACACATATCATTTATTGCATCTAGTGTCATTCGGCCCATCCCGCCACCGCGCCTGGGTTGTAGGTCAGAGTCCTCTGGGACGCCTGCGGGAATCTCTTGGGAGGCCTCTCGGAAGCCTCTTGGATTCCATTCTGGAGTGTCTTGGGGGCCCCTCGGGTATCTCTTGGGGGCCTCTTGCGGCCTAATTTTGGCCTCTTGGGGGCCTCCTGAGGCTTGTGGGGGGCCTCTCGCGAACCTGCTGGCGGTCTCGGGGGTCATCTCGGGGCGAAGGGCTCGAAATGTCGGTCCGTGTTCCCCCTCGGGGGCCTCTCTCGGGCTCCGCTTGGGGCCAAATTTGGCCGACACGGGGACCTCTTGGGCCGTCTTGGGGCCTTCTTGGGGGCGCTCTTGGGGGCATTTTGGGGCGATCTTGGAGGCCTCTTGGGACGTCTTGGAGCGTCGAACACTCGAAAAGGCGAGAACACTAGAATCCTTCAAAAACTTAGGTAAACAGATGATTTTGGCATCTCGAGGCCCCCTGGGGGGCCTCTTGGAGCCCTCTTGGTGCGTTTTGGGGGCCTCTTGGGCCGTCTTGAGGCCATCTTGGGCGTCTTGGAGCGATGTTTGGGCGACTCGGGCCATCTTGGAACGTCTTTGGGGCCTCTGGGGTCGTTCGTGGTCCGTCTTGGCGCCCTCTGGCTTTTGGAAAGGCCATGCGGCCGACCCCGAGAGCGCCCAAGGGCGCCCAGAAGATTTAAATTTGGCCCTCGGCTTTTAGATTTGACTCACCGTATTCAACACGGAGAACTCGAAGGGACCTGAGAGCACTCCAACTCGTGCCTCCGGGTACGGTGGCGGATATAGAGAGAAGGAGAAACAGACAGAGAGAGAGAGAGAGATAGAGAGGAGAGAGAGAGAGAGAGAGTGAACAGACAAAAACAACAAACAATGAAAGAGGAAGAGACACAAACAAAGCATACATACGTATAACAACACGGCCCTCCAGCGCGGATCCCTGGAGGTCTCGACCCATTCTCCAGGACCAGCTTCTCGTCCTGCGTCATTTCTTGAGTGTCCCTGGCCCACAGAGGCCGAAACTCGCCGACTAAAAAATCCCCGTCGCGTTGCGTTTCTGCTCACATCGCGAGGGAGTTTGCCCAATCAATCTGCCTTCGCCCCCTGGGCGCGCCGCCGAGAAGAGGGCGCGCAGGTCCGCGAAGCCGAAAATGGGCAAAACAGAGTCTGTTGGCCCGTCAGGGCCGACAAACTGTGCACCGCACCGCGTTGGAGGGGGCTTCTGAAGGGAGACGAGTTTCTTGTTGGCAGCGCTGGAGGACGCGAGCGCGACTGCAGAGACGGCGGGACGCGCCGGGCACGTGGCGGAGACGGCCGCGGGGGAGTCGAGTAGGGGATTGACTGCAGGATCGATTTGCCCCAGAATCGTTGTCCCGTCGACTGCACGAAGAATGCGCAGAAGGTCTGTAGATTTGACAACCAGTCTGCGCATGTTCCGCAGATTCGACGAGGAAATCACGGGCACATCGAATCTCCAGTCGATCCCCTGCTCGAGGCAGGAGGGGGGGAAGGAGGCCTGGACCGCCAAGAACCGGCGGGGATGGCACGCGCAGGCGGCCTCGGGCACCGGGAGGTGGTGTACTTTCTGGTGGTGCCGGCCAGCACGTGCTGCCAAAAGAGGGGAGTCCTCCTCCTCCTCCTCCTCCTCCTCCTCCTCCTCCTCCTCATCATCATCATCATCATCATCATCATGATCCTCATCCTCCTCCTCCCTTCCTCCTCCCCTTCCTCCTCCTCCTCCTCCTCCTCCCTCCTCCTCGTCATCATCATCATCATCATCATCATCATCATCATCATCATCATCATCATCATCATCATCATCATCATGATCCTCATCCTCCTCCTCCCTTCCTCCTCCCCTTCCTCCTCCTCCTCCTCCTTCTCCTCCTCCTCCTCCTCCTCATCCTCCTCCTCCTCATCATCATCATCATCATCATCATGTTCATCGTTATCCTCCTCCCCAGGTCACCCCCAGGGGCGCGGCATACAGTGGAGACCCATGCCAAGAAACACCCTGCTTGCTTCCAGGGTGCCCTGGGTTCCTTGGGTCACGATGGGCCTGATGTGGAGAGTGCGACGTTCCCGCACCAACAAAAGAAATCTGATCATGGACGCCCTGGGGTCGCAGGTCTGGGTTTCTCGTGGAGGGTTTCTCTCCGTGGAATTGCACGGTGCGCGGGCAGTGGAAGGTTTGGGTTTCTCGTGGAAGGTCTGGGTTTCTCGTGGAAGGTTTGGGTTTCTCGTGGAGGGTTTCTCTCTCGTGGATGACGTGGAAGGTTTCTCGTGGAAGGTTTGGGTTTCTCGTGGAAGTGCACGGTGCGCGGGCGACGTGCTCGTTCAGAAAATTTCCCGCCGTGACTTTCGCCGCGGCGCGCGAGGAACCGCGTCACGGGCTGGCTCGCCTGCCTCGCCCTCGGCACCGTGCTGCAGGCCAGCCGCGGCATGCTCCCCCTTGGGCGCGGGCGGCGGGATGGGGGGGCAGCGGCGGCGCGGGCGGCAAGCGGCGAGGCCTTTTAAGGGGAAGGAGGAGGAGGAGGAGGGAGGAGGAGGAGGAGGAGGAGGGAGGAGGGGGGGAGGGGGAGGGGGAGGGGGAGGGGGGGAGGAGGGGGAGGAGGGGGAGGAGGAGGGGGGGAGGATGGGGAGGAAGAGGAGGGGAGGAGGAGGGGGGGAGGAGGGGGAGGAGCGGGAGGAGGAGGGACCAGTGTTACCTCAAGATCGGGGGAGCGTAAGACCTGGGTTTGCCAGGACTCGGGTTCGCCATCGTTTTTTGACGACCGCGCCTCGGATTTTGACGAGGAGGAGTTTCGTGGGATGTCTGCAGCGGGAGGCCTCGTCAAAATGCAGGCTCGGCCTCGTCATTTTTTTGACGACCTCGTCGGGGATTTCCGAGTCCCCCGTACCCGGGTCTTACGTCTCCCCGACAAGACTCAGCGACGATGTTGGAATAAACCCTCCCTACAAGCTCTTTTTTCATAGGCCCCTACAGGGGCTCTTGTCCCCTGAGGGAAGTGTCCCGTTGGGAGACAATCGTCTGAAGATCCTGAAGCAGGCCAAAACACCATTCTCGGGGCTTCAATGCCACGTATCAACATGACTGTTATGTCTTGACGGTCCTGGATGGTTCCAGAAATCCAGTTCTGGGAATTCAACACCGCGAGTCAACCACAACCCCGTTTCTGCCCGTTCACCCTGGGATTCCGTGAAACTCTTGCAAATGTTCAAAACGAATGTGCGCGGCGTTTGGGCGAGAGCCACATTTTGAAAATGAGCCGCCCTCAATCCGCGAAACTCTTGCGTTTTTTTCAGACGAGTGTGTGCGGCGCTAAGGCGAGAGCCACGGTTTGAAAACCGCTCGCCCTCGTTCCGTGAAATTCTTTGCAACAAATGCTTAAGACGAGTATGTGCGGTGCAAAGGCGAGAGCCACATTTTGAAAGCCACCCGCCCTCATTCCACGAAGCTCTTGCAATGTGTGAAGACGAATGTGCGCGAATCTAAGGCGAGACCCACATGTTGAAAGCCACCCGCCCTCGTTCGGTAAAAGTCTTGCATTTGTTTAGACGATTGCGCGCGCCCTTAAGGCGAGAGCCACATTTTGAAAAAGACCCGCCCTGAATCCGCGAAGCTCTTGCAACCGTTCAGACGAATGTGCGCGGCGCTGAGGCGAAAGACACATTTCGTAACCGACCCGCCCTTCCGTCTAGCCTCGGGGTGCGACAGGGAAGAGTTACTTATAAGGAAAAGGATTGAAGGGAGGAGGGAGGAGGAGGAGGATGAGGACGATGGAGGACGGAAAGGAAGAGGAAGAGAAGGAGGAGGAGGGGGAGGACCAGTGTTAACCCAAACGCATCAACGGTGTTGCAATAAACCCTCCCTCCAAGCTCCTTCTTCATAGGCCCCTACAGGAGTTTATTTTCATTGGCGGAAGTTGCCCATTGGAAGACAACCATTTGAAAATCCGCAATCCTACCAAAACAAGACTCTTGGGATTTCAGCGCCGCGAATCAACGTGACTGCTGCGTCCTGACAGTCCGAAATCGTGCCAGGCATCGTTTCTGGGACTTCGAACCGGGAATCGACGCTGCTGTTGCGTCCTGACAACCCTAAATCGTGCCAGAACGCCGTTCCTGGGACTTCAACCTTCAAGCATATGAACCCTTGAAACGGTTGCAAACTTTTTTGACGAATGCGCGCGGTGCTAAGGCGAAAGCCGCATTCTGAAAATGAACCGCCCTCCATCCTTGGAGGTGTTGCCTCCGGGCGTTTTTCCTAGAGGCCTAGAGGCCTCGGCTCGCTCTTGGAGGCCCAAGAAGAGCCAGAAACATAACAAAAAACGTCGATCCTCCTCCGCCGCCTCCGTTTCCTCCTCCTCCTCCTCCTCCTCCTACCTCCTCCTCTTCCTCCTCCTCCTCCTTCTCCTACCTCCTCATGCACTCCTCCTCCTATTCCTCCTCATCCTCCTGTCTTCCTTCTCAGTCCTGCCTCTGCAAAAAAAAGTGTCCTGACATCCGCCAGCATGGTCTCCTCAATCCGCGGCTCCAGAGGTCCCGACCGCTTCCCCAGGGGTAGCGTTTCGTCACGGGTCCACGTGTAATGAAAGTCGGGCTTTAGAGGCCAGATCGAGGACAATTTTCCGCGCACAAGAATAGTATCGTCGAAGATCTAGGTATTGTGTTCGCCGTAGTGCTCTCAGGTGCTCTTGCCGCCCGCTTTTGCTCTTCCTCCTGCGCGCCCTTCACGCGCAGATGTTGAGCTTCGGCGCCTTCACGCAGGCCCTGCTTGGGCACCCCGGCCGCTTCGCCACCAACTACACGGCGGACACGGGGTCTGTTGTGCCGTCTTGGGGGGGGGGGAGGGTGCAACGAGCGGGATAGATGGCTCCTCCTCCTCCTCCACCTCCTCCACCTCCTCCTCCTGCTCCACTGCGCCCCCCTCCCCTCCTCCGCCAGTTCGCCTCGCTCTCCTCCTCCTCCTCCTCCGCCGCCTCCTCCTCATCTCCCTCCCTCCTCATGCACTTCTCCTCCTCCTCCTCCTCCTCCTCCTCCCTCCTCCTCCTCCTCCTCCTCCTCTCCTCCTCCTCCTCCTCCTCCTCCTCCTCCCCCTCCTCCCTCCTCATGCACTCCTCCTCCTCCTTTTCCTCCTCCTCCTCCTCCTCCTCCTCATTCCTACTCTTTTCCTTCTCCTCCTCCTGAACGCTGCTGGCCGGGGGCCCCCGAGGTGGCGTGTTCACGTGGGGCGACAAGGGCAGAGAGCCTGGGAGGACAGGAGAGGTGGACGCTTCTGTTACTTCGTGTGCTTTCTGGCTGCTTTCTGGCTGCCTCTGGAGGGGAGGCAAGAGGGAAGGAAAGAAGGAGGGGAGTGGTGGGGAGAGGAGGAGAGGGGAGGGGAGTGTGGGATGGAAGGGTGTGAGGGAAGGCGGGGTGGGGAGGAGGGAGGAGAAGGAGGAGGTGGAGCAAGAGGTGGGGAGGAGGAGGAGAGGAGGAGGAGGAGGAGGAGGAGGAGGGAGGAGGAGGAGGGGAGGAAGTGGAGGAGGAGGACGATGTGGAGGAGGAGGAAGAGGGAAGAGGACGAGGAAGATGAGGCAGCATGCTCAGGGGAAGCATCAGCGGCCCATGACACAATTTCGCGCGTCGACCAGCATGCTATGACCATTCGGCCGAATTCGAGTCATCGGCACAAGGTGGCCGATTGAGCATGCGCAGCCACCGTCAAGCTAAGTCACAGCTTTCTGCATTCTTGCAACTGGCCGTCGTTTCGTCGAAGCTCGGAGGGTAGGAGGAGCACAGGATGAACAGTCTGATAGTTTCTCGTAGTCTGCTGCTGCTGCTGCTGCTGCTTGGCCTTGGATCACCGTTGTGATTGCGCCGATCTCATAATGATCTGACGGGTAATATCCAGAATGCTAAGAATCGTATCGTTGTAATCATAGTGCAGCTAAGATTCGTATCATAGCAATCATAATATGAAGAGTAATCGCATCATCATATGAATAAGAACTGCATCATAGTAATCATTTTAATCGTAGAAAGAGCGCGTTCTGTGGTCGCTTGGAGGGGGCGGGGGGTGAAACCGGACCCCCCCCCGTCAAGGGGGGGAGGTTCGAACCCCACCCCCCCCTCCCTTCCTTCCCTGCTTCCCCTCCTCTCCTCGGGCTGGCGCTTGCGACGGCGGCGGCCGGCGGCGGCGGCGGGGACGACGATTCCGTTTTCTGGGCCGGCGCCGGCGCTTGCGGCGGCGGGCGGCGGCTGCGGGGAGCGTCGACGAGGACGACGGTGGTGGTGGTGGTGGGTTGTGGTGGTGGTGGTGGCGGTGGTGGTGGTTGTGGTGGTGGTGTGGTGGTTTGTTGTGGTGGTGGTGGTGGTTGTGGTGGTGGGTGGTGGTGGTGGTGGTTTGGTGGTGGTGTGGTGGTGGTTTGTAGGTGGTGGTGGTGGTGGCTTGTGGTGGTGGTGGTGGTTTGGTGGCGGTGTGGTGGTGGTTTGTGGTGGTGGTCGTGGGTTGTGGTGGTGGCGGTGGTTTGTGGAGGTGGTGCTGGTGGTGGTGGTGGTGGTGGCGGTGGTGGTGGTGGTGTGGTGGTTTGTGGTGGTGGCGGTGGGTTGTGCTGTTAGTAGTGGTGGTGGTTGTGGCGGTGGTGGTGGTGGTGTGGTAGATTGTGGTGGTGGTGGTAGTGGTGGTGGGTTTTTGTGGTGGTGGCGGTGGTGATGGTGAGTTGCGGTGGTGATGTTTGTGGTGGTGTGGTGGTGGTGTGGTGGTGATTCGTGGTAGCTTGTGGTGGTGGTGGTGGCGGTGGTGGGTTTTTGTGGTGGTGTGGTGGTTTGTGGTGGTGGCGGTGGTTTTGTGCTGCTAGTAGTGGTGGTGGTTGTGGCGGTGGTGGCGGTGGTGTGGTAGCTTGTGGTGGTGGTGGTAGTAGTGGCGGTGGGTTTTGTGGTGGTGCATGGTTGTGAGGGTGAGTTGTGGTGGTGGTTGTGGTAGTGGTGGCTGTGGTGGTGGTGGTGGTGGTTGTGTGCTGGGTTGTTAGTGGTGGTGGTGGGTTGAGGCGATGGTTGTGGTGGCAGTGGTGGCGGTGGTGGTAGTGGCGGTAACCGTCGCTGCGTCTCCGCCGTCGCCGGCGCCAGCGCTGGCGCCGCGGCCAGCGCCGGCGCCGGCGCCAGGCGGGGGGAGGGGTTGAAGCCCCCCTCCCCCCAGCGCCCGGGGGGGGGGGGGTTTGAACCCCCCCCCGTTTGGGCTGCCTCTGGTTACCGTCGCTGCGTCCCCGCCGTTCGGCGCTGCTGGCGGCCGCCAGCGCCGGCACCGGCGCCGGGTGGGTGGGTGGGGTGGAGAGTTTTGACCCCCCCCCCTTTTCAGAGGGTAGGGGGTTTTGGGGGGAGGGGATTCCCCTTGGTTTTGATCGACGGCCCCCCGTTTCGAAACGCGCCGCCGACTGTTCCCAAGGCAAGCGCCCGTGAGACGTTTTCTCTCTAATCGTAAGAATGAGTATCCAGTTGCGCTGCCGCGCGTCGCGATTCCGCCGCCGCGCTCGGGCGGGCGCCAGGGCAGCGCCTGGGGGTTCGGCTCTGGGAGGCGGCGGATGAAAAGGGGGCGCACTGGCGGAGGGGGGGCACTGTACCCGGCTACCCGGACCTTCGTTTTTGGAGCAGTTTCGTGGTTGGACGGCGAAAGGCGCAGGGACATGGTGGAACAATTGAAGCAGTGTTTGGGTTCGATGCGTCAGGAGGTCTCAAAAAGAAAGAAGAAGAAGAAAAGAGGAAAAGAAGGGGAAGAGGAAGGGGAAGAAGGGGAAAATAGGAAGAAGGGGAAGAAGAAAAGAAGGGGAAGAAGGGGAAGAAAAGAAGGGGAAGAAGGGGAAGAAGAAAAGAGGGAAGGCCCGACGCCCGGATAGTAATATGATATATCCCTGTTCGCTACACTGGACCAGACTAATCGTCCGTCTGCTTGCGGCAGGTCCCTCGATTGTACCAGCCCGACATTGTGGGTGGCGACTGTGCGATGGGGGGCGCGGGAAGTCGTCACGTGTGACACCTCGTGTCCCCAGGCTGGGAGGAGCTGCGATGATGACGATGGCGATGCTGTTGCTGTTGTTGATGATGATGACGATAACGATGACGATGGCGAGAAGGATGGTGATGCTGCTGATGATGTCAATGATGATGGTGATGGCGATGGTGATGCTGATGCTGATGATGTTGTTTGTGATGGTGATAATGGCTATGGTGATGCTGATGCTGATGATTATGATGCTGGTGGGTGATGGGTGATGGATGATGGATGATTGCTTGTGGTGATAATGATGGTGGTGATGATTATGATGATGCTGATGAGGATGATGATGATGCTGATGATGATGATTAGGATGATTAGGGCGATGATGATGATGATGATGATGATGATGATGATGATGATGATGATGATGATGGTGATGGTGATAGCTTTGGTGATGGTGATGGTGTTGATGGTGGTGGTGATGGTGGTGATGGTGGTGATCATGAAACCAGGAGGAGGAGGAAGAGGAAGGCCGGCACACGTGTCACCTTTCGTCTTCTTTAGTTGAGCAGCCTTCATGGAACTCGTTTGGGCCGTCTTGTGGCTGTATTGGCCTCCTTTGAGACACTTTTGGGGGCCCTTGTGGTCCCTCTTGAATCGTTTTTGGGCTCTCGTGGGCCCTTCTTGGGGCCGTCTTGGGGCCCTCTTGGACAGTCTTGGGAGCCACAGAGCCGTCTTGGACCCTCTTGGGCCGTCTTGGGGCGCTCTTGGGGGCCTCGTCGGCCGTGCTGTGGTTCTCTGGGGGGCCTCTTGGGACGTCGGAAGTTCGAAAAGGCAAAAACGCCCAAAACATTGAAAAACCTTTGGCACACATTGATTGTTGCCTCTGGCGGCCCTCTTGGGAAGGCAGGGCATCTTGGTTTTGGGAAGGCAGGCCATCTTGGTCCGTTTTGAGGTCGCAGTTGGCCGTCTTTGAGCGATCTTGGGCCGTCTTGGAGCCATCTTGGCTTCGGGAGCGCTGCTTTGTAGCATTTTTGAAAGGGGTTGTGGCTTCGGGAGTGCGAATCCATTTCATTTTGCGAGTGATTCTGGCCTCGGAAGGGAGGCTGGTGCATGCAGCGAAGCGCGACTAGAGGATACAAGAGGGGAGGTTCCTTAGGATTTCAAAAAAACCTTACCAGACAGCACTTGGCATTCTAGCACGCCTCAACGTGCCAGGTGGCACGGTGGCGGATACCAGAAATACGTGGATCTTACAGGCCTGAGTAATATCGAAGCATGGAGGATTCCTAGTGTCAGAGCTTGGCAGACCGTGCCGTTGATCAGCAGATCGTGCCGACACCATGGCAACATATATGGAGGCAGTGCAGTAGCGACCACTTGAAGAAGATGCACCACCGCAACCAATCGATGGAGGAGCAGATCTGGATGTCGACGTGGGCCCGACCAGAAGCACAGAGACTAAGCGAGCAATCGAACACCCCCGAGTCCAATGAGCAGCAGGAACCGACATCGTGCCGCTCGAGTTACCGCAAATATGTCACAGTGGCGAAGCATTGGATCTACATTTTCCATTTTCTATATTTTTACAATCCGGGGGGGTGGGAAAACCCCCCCCCCCCCGGAAAATCGGACCCCCGGGATCTGGCGCTTTTGGGGCCCCCTGGACGCCTTGCAATGGGTCCCCCGGGCCTTCCGGGCCTCCTGGACGCCCCTGCCGGGCCTTGCCACGCGGCCCCAGACAGCCCCAAGACGCCCGAAGACGACCCAAAGAAGACCCCCAAGAGGTCCTCCAAGTGCAAAAAACAACACTTTCCTTTAGTTTTTTATTGAATTT